CTGTTCGGGAGAGACCTCAGCTACTGTCTCTCCGGAATGTATGACCACAGATACGGCGACAGTGAGTTCACAGTGCAGAGCACCACAGGCCACTGTGTCCATATGAGGGGTCTGCCGTACAAAGCGACCGAGAACGACATTTACAACTTCTTCTCTCCTCTCAATCCTGTGAGTCCATATTGAGATCGGCCCAGATGGAACAGTGATGGGTGAAGCAGATGTTCAGTTTGCTACTCATGAAGAAGCTGTCGCAGCCATGTCCAAAGACAGGGCCAACATGCAACACAGATACATAGAACTCTTCTTGAATTCGACAACAGGGGCCAGCAATGGGGCATATAGCAGCCAGGTGATGCAAGGCATGGGGGTGTCTGCTGCCCAGGTCACTTATAGTGGCCTGGAGAGCCAGTCAGTGAGCGGCTGTTATGGGGCCGGCCACAGTGGGCAGAACAGCATGGGTGGATATGACTAGTTTTGTTAGGAACATTTGAGTTATTTCTATCAAATTTTACACAGGCAGCCAACAAGCAGTTAAGAGGAGTTATAATAGAGGAAGCTGTGGGACCCATTTTGCACCATGAGTTTGTGAAATCTGGATTAAAAAAATTACCTCTTCAGTGTTTCTCATGCAAAATTTTCTTCTAGCATGTGATAATAAGTAAACTAAAACTATTTTCAGCTTTTCTCAATTAACATTTTGGTAGTATACTTCAGAGTGATGTTATCTGAGTTTAAGTAGTTTAAGTATGTTAAATGTGGACCTTTTACACCACATCACTGAACACACTGGGGAGACATGCTTTTTTGGAAAACTCAAAGGTGCTAGCTCCCTGATTCAAAAAAATATTTCTCATGTTTGTTCATTCTAGTTTATATTTTCATTTAAAATCCTTTAGGTTAAGTTTAAGCTTTTTAAAAGTTAGTTTTGAGAATTGTGACACAATACTAATACTGTAGGAATTGGTGAGGCCTTGACTTCTTTGTACTGTGATTTCCTTTTGGGTGTATTTTGTTAAGTGAAACTTGTTAAATTTTTTGTTAACTAAATTTTTTTCTTAAAATAAAGACTTTTTCACAATGACTGGCACAGATTATCTGCTCAGGAAAAGATAGCAAAATGGGTGGTTGAAGACAATTCATTTTAATCATAATGTATTTTAGTGTGAATTTAAAAATAATTTCATACATCAAATCTATGATCTCCCTTATATTCTTATGATGAGGCTAAATAAAAGTCTAATAAAAATGTTAAAAAAAAAAAAGAACTGAAAACAAGATCTCTAAGAGATATTTGCACTCCAGTGTTCATTGCACCATTATTCAAAGGGCCAAGAAATGTAAACAAACCGAATGCCTACCGACAGGTAAATGGAAAAAGAACATGCGGTATATACATACAATTGAATACCCAGCCTTAAAAAAACAAGGAAATCCTGCCATACGCTAGAACATGCATGAAGCTGGACGACCTTATGCTAAGGGAAATAAGCCAGTCACAGGAACATAGTACTGCATGATTCCACTTACATGAGGCATCTAAAAGTAGTCAGACTCACAAAAGCAGAGAGGAGATGGTAGCTGTCAGTGGCTGGGGCAGGAGGAGGTGGGAGCTGCTATTCAATTGGTACTGGGTTTTAGTCACATCATATGAAAAACTTCTAGAGATCTGCCATACAAAAATGTGCACATAGTTGATGCTGTATCGTATACTTAAAAAGAAAGTAGATTTCATGTTATATATATATATATATATTGTTTTACTATAACAACAAGAAAAAGACTCCGACTGGGACACTGATTAGCACTGCTTATCACTAAAAGACATGAATATGGAAGAAAAAAGATGCTGAAGGAAGTTTTCCTGAGAAAGAAGTTAGACAATAGAGTACATCATTGTCAGGGTTTAGGACACAGACACTGATTAGTAGACCAGGCAGTAAGGATCCTTCAGGGGGAGGAAAAATATCTTTTTATCTGCCCATCCTAGGCTCACGGTTGACACACTTATAACAAAGGACAGATTAACAAGTGAAAAGCATAAAAATTTACTTAATATAAGTTTTAGGTGACTCTAGAGCCTTTTTAAGGAAATAAAATGGAGAGTAAAGAAATAAAAGAAGTATCACCTAATGGTAAGAAACTGGGGAAACAGCAAGGCCTATTTGTTCAGATTCTTCTCTGTGTCCCTGTGTCTTCAGAGATAAGGATATTTCTTTTCTGTGGGTAGAGGACCTCCAGTTCCTACATGACAGTCTCACAGCCTGCTTTAGGGGAAGGTCAGAAAAATCCTTCCCAGATTTTATGACCTGCTTCAAGGGAGAAGGAAGAAGTGGGGGCTAAGAGTGACATTCCTGCTTCTGCCATATTCTCAAATTCCTTCAGCTTAAAATATTCAATAGGTCAAGGGGCCATATTTTGGGATAGTGAGCACTGAACCCCATCAATCCCTCTGCACATAAGGAGAAACCTGGCCACCTGCAGTGAATCAGTGGGGCAGGGAGTGGGAGAACGCAGCCTCTGAATCCTGGGGGCCGATGAAGTTTTGCAGGGCTTTGCATTTGTCAGGGGTGTGACTTCAAACAAATTAACTTTTCAAAGCCTCAGTTTCCTTGTCCATAACAAGAAAACAGTACTACCTGTTTTCCTCCCATAATACTTCTCAGAGTTATTATGGGGATTCAACAAGACAACTCACAAAAGTCACCATCAACACAGGACTAGAGGAAGGCAAGTATTCATTTCACATTAGGCAGTATTTTATTTGCTGTGAACTGTTCACAAAGGTCTCAAAGCAGAAAGCAAGAAAAGACCAGGAAATCTCACCAATTCTCTATGTGAGCACTGGTTAGTCAAAAAAACAAAAACAAAACTATGAAAGGTAAGAAAAAATGATGAGGCAACTTGTGGCCACCCAGATCCGTCCCACATTTCACCTTTGAAGAGTCTGAAGGGCCTGCTCACTGCCCCACCCACCCTTCACCACTTCCCTGATTCCTCTTCCCCCAAACCAAGTGCATGAAGAGATTTGTTTGCGTTTTTACCTACAGTGTCATTTGATTCTGTAGCAAAATAAAAAGTTGTTAATGAAAGGAAGTGCTGCAATTTGTGCATATGCAAGACACTCAAGATTTCAAAGTTTCAGCAAGTCTAGCACAAAGATGTCCAAATGTTTTCACTGGCGATATCTTCAGAGGCTAAACTGTGATTAATAGCCCAGAAAGAACTCTTTGAAGCAGGATTGGTGACATCAAAGTCGTAATCCAGGGGTGGCAGGAGCTTTATAATGAGTGGGAAGCATTTTAACACATTTCAAAGGATTTACAGCATGAATAAACAATAGACCTCAGCAGATGCGCCACACACACCTTTCAGAAACATAACCTATACAAAGTTTCCATTTTAATTTAAATGTAAATACAGTGTTCACACTTCTTTCAAATGTTAAGCATCCTCAGAGCTTCACCCCCTAGATAGCCTCTTCCTAGCCCCAGAACACCCTCCTGTGCTTCTCACAACTGCAACTACCAATGTGTGTCCTGTGTTGGAAAGAGAAAACAGAAGCAGAGACATCTAATGGAATTTATATCATATGTGGGAATTGTGTTAAGAGATAATCTGAATTGGAGCTTACAGTGATCTCACACAGTTTCCCTGTTTCCAACTTAAAGAAAAAGACACAAGTGGTCTGAAGACAGAGGTGGAACTTTTAAAAGATGGCAATTTTCCGACTGCTTCAGAGGATTTTCCTTGCTTGGAAAGCACCCCAGAACCCAGGGTTTCATCTGTAGTCATCTGTTAAGAACTGCCCCAAAGGATAGCTTGTTGTTTTAAATAATCAAACATAGAATTCAGTCTCTCTCTGCTGCACCCTCTGGGTTTATAGGACTTGTTGCAGGGTTCCAGTGGTGATTGTTGGTGGGCATTTGTTTGAGAAATTTTCCTGCTTTAATTTTCTTTCCAAACACAAGAAATAGGCTTATAAACTAAGAAATGATTGCAAAGCAGTGCTGAAATGTCAAAAGCTGTTTGTGTCAAATATCTACAAATATAAGGAGCTGCAAATAAAAAATCAGATGCTTCAGTTCCTCCATTACAAGATGAAGTTATCTTAGTAGACCTGAGAACTGAAATCATATACCCCACATTCAGCTTAGACATGAGAACCGAAACCGCATCTTACTGTCTACAATTCAATGACCTTGTGTAATTCCTGTCTCCATTAGCATGACTTTCTTTTGCCAGGAGTCTCCAAGCCCAGGCAAATGGTTAGATTGCTCACCACAGAAACTTCCTGAAAGACTCATCAGCTCTTCCATGGAAAGGATCAATTTGACAGTTCATTCCCTATGATTCTATAAATCTCTCCTGTCAAAGTCCTCCCCTTGATGTTTCCACCAGCCCTGGATTGTTGCTTTGTGATCCTTACCCAATCCTAATCAAAGGCCCTCCCTTTGAAAGATGCTTCTTTAAAATAAATGATTGCTCAACAAACTCTGACCTTGACTTCCCTTCTCCAAGACACTGCCAAAGCTTGGAGAGGCGGTGGGAAGCAATTAACTCCACTTTTGTCTTATCAGTGAGTTCTGTTGGTAATGTTTGGGAGCAAGCTTGGGACAGACCTAGGTTAATGCAATACTTGCAGTAATTAACATGTTCCAATTTCAGTTTATAATACTGTGGCTAACAAAATACAAGGAGTTAAATTCAGTACATAGTTGTATAAAAACATACTATAAAAAATACTATAGTAGCTATGTGCAGTGGCTCTCATCTGTAATCCCAGAATTTGGGGAGGTCAAGTAGGAGGATCGCCTAAGCCCAGGAGTTTGAGACCAGCCTGGGCAACATAGACAGACCCCGTCTCTACAAAAAAAATCTTAAAAATTAGCTGCATGTGATGGCATGCCTGGGGTCCCAACTACTCAGGAGGCTGAAGTGATAGGATCAGTTGAGTCTGGGAGGTTGAGACTGCAGTGAGCCATGATCACACCACTGCACTCTAGCCTGGGCAACAGAGCAAGACCCCATCTCAAAAAACACAAACCTATAGTATTTTGTATGCTAAAAAACTTTTTTCATCTTTACATAACCATCTCTCCTAAATCTATAACAAGAATTTATTTTAGATTTGATACATCGAAGTAACTCAAGACAGCCACAAAATATGACACAGCTGCAGGAAGCCAAGAAAAGGCAATCATGTGTGATGTTAAATTTTGTTCCGCAGTTTTTACTTTCTCCCTTAGCATTTATCTACAGCTTTAAGGTTTAATATAAATAAATGGGCAGAGCAGGATGGAAGAGTTCCCAGCCCACTTGGACATGACCTAATCTCTTATGAAAAGAATATGGATAGGCCAGGCGCGGTGGCTCAAGCCTGTAATCCCAGCACTTTGGGAGGCCGAGGCGGGTGGATCACGAGGTCAAGAGATCTAGACCATCCTGGTCAACATGGTGAAACCCCGTCTCTACTAAAAATACAAAAAATCAGCTGGGCATGGTGGCGCGTGCCTGTAATCCCAGCTACTCAGGAGGCTGAGGCAGGAGAATTGCCTGAACCCGGGAGGCGGAGGTTGCGGTGAGCCGAGATCGCGCCATTGCACTCCAGCCTGGGTAACGAGAGCGAAACTCCGTCTCAAAAAAAACAAAAAAAACAAAGAATATGGATAATGTATACACAGTCACGTGTTGCTTAATGACAGGGATATATTCTGAGAAAAGAGTCATAGGGAATTTTCTCATTTGTAAACAGCATAGAGGTACTTACAAAAACCTAGATGTATAGCCTCTGCACACTGTGACTGTTACAGATACAGGATGAAATCACTTTTGTCAGACCCAGACAAAATAGGGCTGGGAAGGCCTGAAAAAGAGGAGACTCATGCTTACATGTCTGAGATAAGAACTGTTTCCAAGGACTTTCTAAAAACCCCACAAAAAACCCTTTTGCATCCTTCATGCATCTCCTGCTTTGATAAGGTTTATCACTAGGCATTCTATAGGACTGAGTAATTCAGTTAAGATATTCTCAGAAGAACACTTGCCCACTAACAGTATCTCCACCAATGAACTGACAACTCT